AAAATTTCTGTTGTTAAGTGAGATGTTTGTTAAGTTAGTTTTGCCCCATTTTACAACCTTTCTTGTCACAGTTGTTAAGTGAATCACTGCAGGTATTCAGTTAGTAACATGGTTGTTAAATGAATCTGGTTCCCCATTGACTTTGCTTGTCAGAAGGTTGCAAAAGTTGATCACATGACCCCGGGACACTGCAGCTGTCATAAATACGAAGCAGTTGCCAACCTTTTACCACCAGGCACATCCATAGTTGAGCATCCTTTTGGCTTTGGCCCAACCGCTTCACTCTTTCTGGAGCTACGTGTAATTGCCCTCCGCTCAAACCCAGTAGCATATTGGACACCTTCTGACCTGAGGGGCTCATCTTCTGGCGTCGTATCTTTTTGACTTTTGATACTGTCCATGGGGTTGTCTTGGCAAAGATACTGGAGTGGGTTGGCATTTCCTTCTCCGGTAGACTGTGTTTTGTTAGCACTCTCCACTATGACCTGTCCATCTTGGGTGGCCCTGCATGGCTTAGCTCGGAGCTTCAATGAGCTGTACTAGCCCCTTCGTCACAACAAGGCAGTGATCCTCGAAGGGGTCTTAGCTTTTTAAGGTCAGCCAGCTCAGATTCTTGATTCAGTTCCACCCTTTTGACAGAATGTGGAAAACAGAATGATGATTTTTGTTCCCCTGACCAAAAGGTTGCTCAGTTTATTCATGGCAGTAAAAACTTTGCATGACAAATGATTTTCTGCTGCACACTTTTTAAAAGGCTCTACAGGTAGTCCTCAACTGATGACTACAATTGAACCCAAAATTTATATTGCTATGTGAGAAATTTGTTAAGTGACTTTTCCCCATTTTATGACTTTTCTTCAGGGTGGATTTGATTTAAATCAAGTTGATTTAAATCATAATTTTTAAAGAACAACTGTCATCTCTGTTCCACAGCAGCTCTGTGGGACAGAGGAAGTTGACCTTCCTCTGACCTGCTGTTGACTCATCGACAGTCCTAATACTGCAGAATAAACAGCCTCATGCAGGGGTGAAATGCTCCCAGTTTGGACCGAATCATCCGATCCGATAGCAATGGAGATGGGTGGTTCAGAGAACCGGTAGCAAAAATCCCTGTGCCCTCCCCCATGCCCAGCTGAGCTGCACAATCATCAGAGGCTTTTTTTTTTTTACTTTTAAAAGCATTTTTTCTGCAACCTCTTTGGCCGAAAAAATGCTTTTAAAAGTAAAAAAAAAAGCCCCTGCTGATCAGGCAAGTCAGCTGGGATCGTCAGAGGCTTTTAAAAGCATTTTTTTAACAACCTCTTCAGCCGCAGAGGTTGTAGAAAAAATGCTTTTAAAAGTAAAAAAAAAAAACTTGGCCACGCCCACAGTCATATTACCCCATCACCACCAAGCCACGCCCACAGAACCGGTAGTAACAAATTTTACATTTCACCACTGGCCTCATGTTACATAACTAGGCACCATTTCATGCTGAATAAACTAAATTATTAATGTATCTTAAATAGAAAACTATCTTTAGATAGATTTTTACTCCAAAAGCATTTTATTAAAATAAATTTGATACAAATAAAAACAAATCCGATTTAAATAAAAAAATCCGATTTAAATTAAAAAAATCCGATTTAAATAAACAAAATCTGATTCTTTTGATTTTTTTTAAAAAATCATCGATTTTTATCCACACTGCTTTTCTTGCCAATTTGTTAAGTGAATCGCTGGATTTGTTAAATTAGTAACACGGTTGTTAAGTGAATTTGGCTTCCTCATTGGCTTTGCTTGTCAGAAGGTCGCAAAAGGGGATCACCTGACCCTGGGACATTGCAAACGTCACAAAGGTGAGTCAGCTGCCAAATGTCTGGATGTAAATCACATGACCATGGGGATACTACAATGGTCATAAGTGTGAAAAATGGTCATAAGTAACTTTTTTCAGTGCCATTGTAACTAAGTCACTAAGTGAATTTTTGTAAGTCAAGGACTACCTGCATCTAAAAAGAGATTCCTTGAAATTAGCAGCAGTTTTCCAGCTTCTGTAAGCCTTTTGGCCTTCCTTCTGATGATAATCCAATTTGTAATTCCAGTTCATACAAATCCTTTTGAAAACATTTTTTACAACCTCTTAGCCAAAGAGGTTGTAGAAAAAATGGTTTTAAAAGTAAAAAGAAAAAAATTGGCCATGCCTACCCAGTCACATTACCCCCCCAACACGCAGAACCGGTAGTAACAAATTTTAGATTTCACCCCTGAATCAAATGCAATAATGTGATTCAATACTTAAGAGAACAGGAAAAAGAGGACATCCCTAACCTCCATGGAGTCTGCAAAGAAAAAAAATTAAACAATATTATTTTATGAGCCAGCATTTTTAATTGCATGCTGCTGAAAATAATTTTGTTCCCCAGCCTGCACCACCCACCCCCATTTGCAACTAAAAGAATGTAAAAGAAGCAACAGCAGTAAAAGTCCAACAGACCTCAAGGTTGCATGAAAGTAATAATTCTATAAAGTTGTTCTTTTTTTTAAAAGCAAAAGTTCCAAGAACCTTTTATAAAACTGACAATCTCCACTTGTGACAAATCTGTGATTAATCAGCAAAACCTGGAATGGATCATTCCAGGTTGTATTTGAAATCCTGCAAGGGAACTTTTAAAAGCAGCACTTCTTACTGCTGGAATGTATGCATCTGGTTACTCAGAAGAACTGAAACCCTTGTGCTGCTTCTGTAGCAATAAAAGCTGACATTAGTTCATTTCCCGCCAACCAAGGATGCACTGAAATGGCAGGAGATCTTTGCGATGGTCCTGGAAATTTCCAGGAATAAGCCAAGCTGTAATAAGCAATACTTGAAACAATAAAAAAAAATGGCAGATAATAAAAATGCCTTAACTTTCTTCTAATATGCACTCAATATACACAAATCCCCCCCCCCCAAAAAAACCTGTAAAACTCTCCCCAGAATCAATGTGGCCGAGCCTGCATTCACCAGAGAGAGAAATTCAGTTTTTAAAGGGACAGGCATAAGTTTAGAAGTTTCTCAACAAGACAAAACCCAACAAGACAGACACAGACTTCAGAGGATAATTAGAATTCAGAGGATAATTAGAATTGCAGAAAAAACAATTGCTACCAACCTGCCTTCCATTGAGGACCTGTATACTGCACAAGTCAAAAAGAGGGCTGTGAAAATATTTACAGACCCCTTACATCCTGGACATAAACTGTTTCAATTCTTATCCTCAAAATGATGCTATAGAGCACTGCACACAGAACAACTAGACACAAGAACAGTTTTTTCCCGAATGCCATCACTCTGCTAAACAAATAATTCCCTCAACACTGTCAAACTATTTACTAAATCTGCACTATTAATCTTGTCATCGTTGCCACCACCCATCTCCTTCCACTTATGACTGTATGACTGTAACTTTGTTGCTTGTATCGTTACGATTTATATTGATATTGTTTCCTGATTGCTTATTTGTACCCTATAACTATCATTAAGTGTTGTACCTTATGATTCTTGATGAACGTATCTTTTCTTTTATGTACGCTGAGAGCATATGCACCAAGACAAATTCCTTGTGTGTCCAATCACATTTGGCCAATAAAAAAACCCTATTCTATTCTATTCTATTCTATTCTATTCTATTCTATTCTATTCTATTCTATTCTATTCTATTCTATTCTTCTGTTCTCTACAAAATAGGTTCTCAACTTTTTTTTTTTAGAATAGAATTCTTTATTGGCCAAATGTGATTGGACACACAAGGAATTTTCTTTGGTGAATATGCTGTCAGTGTGCATAAGGAGAATAAAATACATTAATCAAGGATAAAAAATACAACACAGTGATAGTCAAGGTTACTAATAAGCTATCAAATTGTACTAGGATACGAATAAAAACAGTATAAATTGAAAGATACAAGCATAGTAAGTGGGAAGAGATAGATACTAGGAAGAGAATAATAATATTAATACAGTCTTAGTAAATTATTTGACAGTGTTGTAGGAATTAGTTGTTAAGCAGAGTGATGGCATTCCGGGGAAAAAACTGTCCTTGTGTCTAGTTGTTCTGGTGTGCATAGAAGTTGAAAAAATTATGTCCAGGATGTGAGGAGTCTGTAGATATTTTCACAGCCCTCTTTTTGATTCGTGCAGTATACAGGACCTCAGTGGAAGGCAGGTTGGTAGCAATTGTTTTTTCTGCAGTTCTAATTATCCTTAAAGTCTGTGTCTGTCTTGTTGGGTTGCAGAACCAAACCAGACAGTTATGGAGGTGCAGATGACAGACTCAATAATTCCTCTGTAGAACTGAACCAGCAGCTTCTTGGGCAGTTTGAGCTCTCTGAGTTGGTGCAGAAAGAACATTCTTTGTTGTGCTTTTCTGATGCTTTTCTGTTTTTGTTGTTTGGTGTCCATTTTAAGTCTTGAGATATGATAGAACCTAGAAACTTGAAGGACTCTACTGTTGATACTGTGTTGTCTAGTATTTTAAGAGGTGGTAATATAGGAGGTTTTCTTCTAAATTCCACCACCATTTCTATGGTTTTGAGTGTATTTAGCTCAAGATTGTTCTGGTTCTACCACAAGGCTGCTTGTTCAACCTCCCGTCTGTACGGAGATTCATTTACATTGCACACCAAATCTGTACAAATACCAACGAATAGATAGATGGTGCCTTAATATTGATCATGTAACAAAAAATCTCTTTCCAAATACATCTCAACCTCTTCTCTGCTTGTTCTTGCACACTAACACAGCCCGGCAGGAACTCCTTTTTTTGGATAAGGCTGGGCGGAGACAGAGCCCTGTTCTCGCCCCGTTTTTAGCATAGCACAGCACAGGGGTTGACAAATGTGGCTCTTTTGCAACCTGTGGACTTCAACTCCCAGAATTCCTGAGACAGCTTGGCTGCCTCAGGAATACTGGGAGTTGAAGTCCACAGGTTGCCACATTGCCCAACCCTGGCATAGCATATAAAAAGGCTTGCGAGCAGCTTCACTTCGGCATTTTTCTCCTGGTCCCTGGAAGGTTAGTTGCTGCGACGTAGAGCGGTGAGGGCGGCTGGGCTGGAGATTGTTAACTATTTGGGGCTTTGGGGGAGGCTGCTTCGCGCCCTTGTTGCCTCCCAGTATTGGGAGCTTCCCGTGGGGCTACTTTGGCCCCGTTGAGAAAGTTACCCGGTGTTCGGCTTTGCAGGAGGAGGGGAAGCGGATAGTTGCGCCTTTCGGAGAAGTGGGATCATCGGAGAAAGGACTCTGCTGCCTGCTTTCTGGTAAGCAGTTCAGACTAAACGTTTCTGTGTATATCGGGATTTGAGGGGGATAGCATTGGTGAAACGGGCCATCCATTAGTAATGAAAAAGTGGCCTTGCCGGTCTTTTCACGTGCCCATCCAAAAAGTGTTGGCGTAGGTTGTCCATTAAGTTTCGGGAGATTAGAACAAACTCTGGATAGTGGCGATAGTCGGTGACTTACTGAAGTGAATAATAAACGTATAAAAAGTTTTGGTGCATAGAGAAAAGAATCTTGTAGGTATTGTAAGTATGTCAAGGAAATGTGTTTCTCTGTTGTGCGTCCATAGATGTTTGTGTATTGCTATATGGAAAGCTTTTTAAGTTCTCGGTTCGGGCTTCAGATTCACTTATAGACTCATTGATCACGGCCGACCCCGTGTGAACCATTGCCGAATTCTTTGCCTTCGCCACTTTATACAGAACTCTCCGCCTCTTGCCTCTGCTCGTCCGCACGGGGACAAATCGGTCTCCAGCCCAATTGGTTGGTTTCTACCCAATAGGCAGAAGCCGCCGATGGGTGGGTGGGGCGATCGTAGGGGCTGTGGGATGGGCAGTATTAGCATGTAAGTTTGTTTTGTTTTTTTAAAACTGCCGCGGCTGCCCCGCAAGTTGTTTTTTTTTTTAAAGGGACTGTGGAAAGTTTTTAAAGGGAAGTGGCTCCAGAGCCGAGGTTCGGGGGGGGGTGGGGGGGGAGGGGAGGAGGAGTTATAAGAAGGCGTCGGAGGGGGCAGGCATGCCGGAGTGTGTTGGGGGAGACTAGGAAGGGAGGGAGGGGCGCACCTCTAGGCGGCGCTGTAGAGACAGCTTGGCTCACAACTCGGCCAGCGCGAACTAAACAAAGTGGGGGGGGGGGAAGGAGGAGGAGGAGGAGGAGCAATCCCGGCGTGGCTTTTGCCGGCCCATCCCACAACGCCAGAAGCCACGCCCCCTTTTTTGGAGTTTTGCCCCATTTTACCACCTTTCTTGCCCAGGTTGTTAAGTGAATCACTGCACTTAAGTTAGTAACACGGTTGTGTTTAGTGAATCCGGCTAACTCGTTGACTTATCCTTGACTAGTCGCCTGACTAGGTGGCTCAGTGGCTAAGGCACTGACCTTGTCGATCAGAAAGGTCAGCAGGCGGTTTGAATCCCAACTCCTAGCAGGAGGTTGGACTAGATGACCTCCAAGGTCCCTCCCAACTCTTGTTACTGTTAAAACTTTGCTTTTCAGAAGGTCGCAAAAGCAGATCACCTGACCCCAGGACACTGCAACCGTCGTAAATAGGAGCCAGTTGCCAATTTTTTTTTAATCACCAGGCACATCCACATCTGAGTGTCATGTTGGCTTTGGCGTAACTCTTCACTGTTTCTGGAGTTACGTGTAATTGCCCTCGGCTCAAACCCAGTAGCATGAGGGGAAGTAGATCATGACCTGAGGGGCTCCTCTTCCAGTGTCATAAACTTAGACTTTTAATACTGTCCATGGGGTTTTCTGGGCAAAGATACTGGAGTGGGTTGCCGTTTCCTTCTCCAGTGGACTGTTTTGTCAGAACTCTCCACTATGACCTCTCCATCTTGGATGGCCCTGCATGGGCCTAGAAGCAACCTAGAACAAAGGAGAAATTTCCTAACATTTAGAACAATTAATCTGTGGAACAAGTTACCTCCAAAAATTGTGCTCCATCACTGGAAGTTCTCAATAAGAGATAGGACAACCATTTGTCTGAAATGATGTAGGGTTTCCTACCTGAGCAGGGGGTTGGACCAGAAGACTTCCAAGGTCCCTTCCAACCAGGGGTGAAATGCTCCCAGTTCAGACCGGATCACCCAATCTGGTAGCGGTGGCGGCGAGTGGTCCGGAGAACCGGTAGCAAAAATCCCTGCCCCCCCCCCCATGGCCAGCTGAGCCATGTGATCCTCAGAGGCTTTTTTTTTTTAACTTTTAAAAGCATTTTTTCTACAACCTCTTAAGGCTGTAGAAAAAATGCTTTTAAAAGTAAAAAAAAAAAAAGTTGGCCACGCCCACCCAGTCACATTACCCCACCACCACCAAGCCACACCCACAGAACCGGTGGTAACAAATTTTAGATTTCACCCCTGCTTCCAACTCTGTTATCCTTTCTGGACCGGGACACCCTGCGCACAGTCACTCATGCCCTTGTTACCTCCCGGTTGGACTATTGTAATGCTCTCTACATGGGGCTCCCCTTGAAGAGCACTCGGAGGCTCCAACTGGTCCAGAATGCGGCCGCACGGGTGGTTATGGGTGCAATCCGTTGCGCCCACGTGACACCCCTCCTGCGCGAGCTGCACTGGCTCCCAGTGGTCTTCCGGGTGCAATTCAAGGTGTTGGTCACCACCTTTAAAGCGCTCCATGGCACAGGACCCGGGTACCTTCGAGACCGACTTCTGCCACCGATAGCCTCCCACCGACCAGTCCGCTCCCACAGAGAGGGTCTCCTCTGGGTGCCATCAGCCAAGTCATGTCGGCTGGCGACACCCAGAGGGAGGGCCTTCTCTGTGGGAGCCCCAGCCCTGTGGAATGAACTGCCCCCGGAAATTCATAAGATTTCTGACCTCCGGGTATTTCGCTGCGCACTCAAGACCCTGTTGTTCCGCCAGGCTGGGTTAGCAACATAATTTTAAATTGGATGTTTTAAATTTTTGGGGTTTTAAATTAAGCCAAATTTATTTAATATTTTTAAATTATTTTAAATTGATGTTGATTCTGTTTTTAAATAGGCTGTACACCGCCCTGAGTCCTTCGGGAGAAGGTAAAGAAATAAAATAAATTTTATAGAAATAAAATTATTATTATTATTATTATTATTATTATTATTATTATTATTATTATTCTGTTATGCATTGCTTAGCTCATAGCTTCAATGAGCTGCACAAACCCCTTCACCACGACAAGGCAGTGATGCATGAAGGCGTCTTAGCTTTTCAAGATAGACAACTCAGATTCTCGATTCAATTCAACCCTTTTGACAGAAAGTGGAAAACAGAATGTTGATTTTTATTCCTCTGTTAAAAAGTTGCCCAATTTATTCATGGCGCTAAAATAATTTGCAAGACAAATTATTTTGTGCTGCACACTTCTTAAAAGGCTGTGTCCTATATCTAAAAAGAGGTTATTGAAATTAGTAGTAGTTTGTCATCTTCTGTAAGCTTCTTGACCTTCCTTCTGTTGATAACCCCATTTGTAATTCCAGGTCATACAAATCCAGGAACAATGGCCCGCGGTAAACGTGATGAGCAGGCCCATCCTAGCAAGAGATATGATCGTCCTAGCAATGGATATGATCCGGTACAGGAAGAAGAAAAAGGTAATAACACCAAAGTCTGGAAGCCAATCTCCCAAAATGAAGGATTGAAATGTCCAAGCCGTGGCCACACAGAGCAATCCAAAACACTCTTCCCAGTTGGATTTCCAAAAATTCCTGCTGAATTTTATCATATATGATTTTTTATTGGTTTTCAAAAATAAAATACAAAAAGTATAAATAGTTGAAAAGAAAACATAAGAAGAGGGGGAGGGAAGAATATAAAAGAAATAAAGTGTAAAGTGGGGGAAAGGAAGGAAAAGGCACCAACTTCCAACTCTTTAACACAGTAGAAGATAACAGTATTTATTTATTTATTTATTATTTAAATTTGTATACCGCCCTTCTCCCAAAGGACTCAGGGCGGTGCACAGCCAAAATTAAAATACATACAATACAAAATTTAAAATAATTTAAAAGCAGAATTAAATCGAATTGGCTTCCCAAAACATTAAAACCCATTACCCTTAAAATAACCCATTAAAATTTTAAGCCAGCCCAGCTTGCTGAAATAGGAAGGTCTTCAAAGCTCGACGGAAGGTCCGGAGGTCCGGGATTAGTCGTATTCCTGGGGGGAGCTCGTTCCAGAGGGCGGGTGCCCCCACAGAGAAGGCTCTCCCCCTGGGGGTCGTCAGTCGACATTGCTTGACCGACGGCACCGTAAGGAGGCCCTCTCTGTGGGACCGAGTTGGCCGGTGGGAGGTTATCGGTGGCAGAAGGTGGTCTCGCAAATAACCAGGCCCTAAGCCATGGAGCGCTTTAAAGGTGAGAACCAATACCTTGAAGCGCACCCGGAAGACCACCGGAAGCCAGTGCAGCTCGCGCAGGCAAGGTGTCACATGGGAGCGCCATGTCGCCCCCATAATTACCCGCGCGGCCGCGTTCTGGACCAGCTGGAGCTTCCGAGTGCTCCTCAAGGGGAGCCCCATGTAGAGAGCATTGCAGTAGTCCAGGTGAGAGGTGACGAGGGCATGAGTGACCGTGCATAGGGAGTCCCGATCCAGAAAGGGACGCAACTGGCGTATCAGGCGAACCTGATAAAAAGCCCCCCTGGCCACGGCCGTCATATGCTCTTCTAAAGACAGCCATGCATCCAGGAGGACGCCCAAGTTGCGAGCCCTCTCCGTGGGGGCCAATGACTCGCCCCCAATAACCAGAGATGGCACCAACTGGCTATATCGGGACGCCGGCATCCACAGCCACTCGGTCTTGGAAGGGTTGAGTCGAAGTCTGTTCCTCCCCATCCAGACCCGCATAGCCTCCAGGCACCGGGACATCACTTCAAGGCCATCGTTGGGGTGGTCTGGGGTGGAGATGTACAGCTGAGTATCATCAGCGTACAGATGGCATCGCACCCCAAATCCACGGATGATCTCACCCAGCGGCTTCACATAAATGTTGAACAGGAGAGGCGAGAGGACCGACCCTTGCGGCACCCCACAAACAAGGTGCCTGGAGGTCGACCTCTGCCCCCCAGCCAACACAGACTGCGACTGGTCAGAGAGATAAGAGGAGAACCACCGTAGAACGGTGCCTCCCACTCCAACCCCTCCAGCCGGCGCAGCATGATACCATGGTCGATGGTATCAAAAGCTGCTGAGAGATCTAATAGGACCAGGACAGAGGAACATCCCCTGTCCCGAGCCCTCCAGAGATCATCGACCAACGCGACCAATGCCGTTTCTGTGCTGTACCCAGGCCTGAAGCCGGACTGGAACGGATCCAGATAGACAGCTTCATCCAGGTACTGTGGGAGCTGTCGCGCAACCACACTCTCGACAACCTTCGCCACAAAGCGAAGATTGGAGACAGGACGGTAGTTTGCCAAAACAGCCGGATCCAGACAGGGCTTCTTGAGGAGGGGCCTCACCACCGCCTCTTTCAAGGCGGGAGGTAAGACACCCTCACTCAGAGAAGCGTTAATAATCCTCTGAAGCCAGCCTCGTGTAACCTCCCGGGTAGCCAGCACCAGCCAGGAGGGACACGGGTCCAATAAACATGTGGTTTATTTATTTATTTATTATTTATTTATCGAATTTCTATACCGCCCTACTCCCGAAGGACTCAGGGCGGTGTACAGCCATGAAATAAAACACATAAATATACAAAATTTAAAATCGAATAAAAATGAATTAAATAAATTTGGCTGAATTAAGACCCATAATTTAAAATACCCCTAATTTTAAAATACATTAAAAATTTAAAATTTACATTTAAAAGGGAGAAGATTTAGGCGAGGCCCGCTTGATGAAATAAAAGCGTCTTCAACTCGCGGCGGAAGGTGCGCAGATCCGGGATCCTCCGTATCTCTGGGGGGAGCTCATTCCAGATCGTCGGTGCCCCCACAGAGAAGGCTCTCCCCCTAGGGGCCGACAGCCGACATTGTTTGGCCGACGGCACCTGGAGGAGCCCTTCTCTGTGGGAGCGTACTGGTCGGTGGGAGGCTGTTGGTGGTAGTAGGCGGTCCCGTAGATAACCAGGTCCTAAGCCATGGAGTGCTTTAAAGGTGGTAACCAGAACCTTGAAGCGCACCCGGAAGACCACCGGGAGCCAGTGCAGCTCGCGCAGGAGAGGTGTTACATGGGAGCTCCATGTTGCTCCCATAACCACCCGCGCGGCCGCACTCTGCGCCAGTTGGAGCCTCCGGGTGCACCTCAAGGGGAGCCCCATGTAGAGAGCATTACAATAGTCCAGACGAGAGGTGACGAGGGCATGAGTGACTGTGCGTAACGAGTCCCGATCCAGAAAGGGACGCAACTGGCGAATCAGGCGAACCTGATGAAAAATCCTCCCGGTCACAGCCGTCAAGTGCTCTTCTAAAGACAGCCGTGAATCCAGGAGGACGCCCAAGTTACGAGCCCCTTCCGTGGGGGTCAATGATTCGCCCCCAATAGCCAGCGATGGCACCAGCTGACTATATCGGGACGTCGGAAACCACAGCCACTCGGTCTTGGATGGGTTGAGCCTGAGCCCGTTTCTCCCCATCCAGATCCGTACGGCCTCCAGGCACTGGGACATCACTTCAAGGCCATCGTTGGGGTGATCCGGGGTGGAGATGTACAGCTGAGTGTCGTCAGCGTACAGATGGTACTTCACCCCGAAACCACGGATGATCTCGCCCAGCGGCTTTACATAAATGTTGAACAGGAAGGGCGAGAGAACCGATCCCTGCGGCACCCCACATATAAGGGGCCTCGGGGTCGATCTCTGCCCCCCTGTCAACACAGACTGCGACCGGTCAGAGAGAAAGGAGGAGAACCACCGTAAAACGGTGCCTCCCACCCCCAACCCTTCCAGCCGGTGCAGCATGATACCATGGTCGATGGTATCAAAAGCCGCTGAGAGATCTAACAGGACCAGGACAGAGGAACATCCCCTGTCCCGAGCCCTCCAGAGATCATCAACCAACGCGACCAATGCCGTTTCCGTGCTGTATCCAGGTCTGAAGCCCGACTGGAACGGATCTAGATACAACGCTTCATCCAGGTACTGGGGTAGCTGTCGCGCAACCACACTCTCAACAACCTTCACAACGAAGCAAAGGTTGGAGACTGGACGATAGTTAGCCAATACTGCCGGGTCCAGGGAAGGCTTCTTGAGGAGAGGCCTTACCACCGCCTCTTTCAGGGCGGCGGGGAAGACACCCTCACCCAACGAAGCATTTATAATCCCCTGGAGCCAGCCTCGCGTCACCTCCCGGGAAGCCAGCACTAACCAGGAGGGACACGGGTCCAACAAACATGTGGTCGCGTTCAATCTACCCAGAATCCTGTCCACGTCATCTGGGGTCACAGGATCAAACTCATCCCAGATAACAGTCTCAAGACCTGTCTCCATCACCCCCTCTGGATCTATCGCGTCAGAGTCCAGACCTGCCCGAATCTGAGTGATTTTGTCATACAGATACTGAACAAAATCCTCGGCTCTTCCCTCCAAGGGGTGGAGTGGGTCACCCTAAACAGGGTGGCCGGGCGATTATCTGATCATGCAATAAGAGCAGCAAAATGAGAATACTTTGCTGCTTTTATCGCCACTAGGTAATTCCTAATATGAGATCTTACCAGTGTTCGGTCAGATTCAGAAAGACTAGCCCTCCAACAGCTCTCTAGGCGTCTTTTCCGGCGCTTCATCTCCCTCAGCTCCTCGGTGAACCAAGGAGCCAGGCGAGATCGGCGCCGGGTCAGAGGCCGCAAAGGCACGACTCGATCCAGGGCTCCAGCAGCCGCCCTATCCCAGGCGGCCACTAGGTCCCCAGATGAGGCGTGAGCCAGAACCTCCGGGATTGGCCCAAGTTCCATCTGGAACCTATCAGGTTCCATCAGGTGCCTGGGGCGGTACCATCTTACCGGTTCCGCCTCCCTGCAGCGGGGTGCCGCGGTTCGAAGGTCAAGGCGAAGGAGCGAGTGATCTGACCATGACAAGGGCTCGATGACTATATCCCCTATCTCGAGATCACTCAACCACTGTCCAGAGACAAAAACCAAGTCCAGTGTGTTTCCCCCAGTGTGCGTAGGGCCATGAATTAGTTGGGTCAGGTCCATGGCCGTCATGGAAGCCATGAACTCCCGAGCCACCTCAGACGCCTCACCCACGGATGGCAGGTTGAAATCCCCCATGACCATAAGTCTGGGAGTATCAACCGCCACCGCGGCAATAACGTTGAGTAGCTCGGGCAGGGCTGCCGCCACGTGGCAGGGAGCCAGGTATGTGATCAGCAAGCCCATCTGAACCCCATGGCCCCACTTCACAAGGAGGAACTCACAACCGGCTGTCTGAGGTACAGTGGTCTCCCTCGGCCTAAGGCCTTCTCTAATAATAACCGCTACTCCCCCGCCCCTCCCCTGCGACCTTGGCTGATGGAATGCGTGGAAACCTGGTGGGCACATTTCTACCAGAGGGACCCCTCCCTCTGGGCCCAACCAGGTCTCCGTAATACCCGCCAGGTCCGCTCCCCCCTCGTAAACAAGATCACAAATGAGGGGGGCTTTATTTACTACAGACCTGGCGTTGCACAACATCAAGCGAAGGCCCGGGCCTGGAGGTCTGAGCTACCTGGAGAACGGGTGGAGCCTTGGGGGCCGGAGCACTCTACCGCTTGAAGACAGCGGGTGCGTGCTCCCTTAACATGATATGGCCCCCTGCTCCCGCCATATCTACCTCTCCCACACACAGTACCGATGGTAGAAACGCAGTCTGGACCAGCTCGACCCCCTCCGGATCCCCCACCACCCTCGCCGAACATCCTGGCCAAGCCCGACTCTCCCCCTAGTGGGTTATCCCCCAAACCCACAACCCTAATTCCAATCCCACCCCCCTCCCCCCTCCCAGAACCCCTTAAAAGTTTAAACAAGGACAATTTTAAAAAACCCCGCAGCCCCCTCTTTGCGGCATGCCACCTCTCGGGACTCCAGAGCCCGTCATCGAGGTAGGCCCTCGATAGAATGGAGGGCCAAGCCTGCGAGAGGGGGGAGTCTCGCAGACCAAGAAGCTCCGCTGCTGAGTACATTAATCATAATGGGTGACACGACCATATCCTGAGGGTGTATATAAAGGACCAAGGAGAAGACAAAAAGATGGGAGAAATCTCAGAGACATATTTGCAGGACCAAGTCCCCTGTCCCCTCACAACAGAGGACATAGTCCAAAGCCAGGACGACCACAGTTCCAAGGGGGAAATAGATCCAACCACCCTCCCACGGTGGTTAGGTCAGCTGGACAGCCCCCTCTTGTGGTGGGGTGGCAGCAATGAACCGATGCATATAGACAGCGTCCGGGGGTCAGGTCCAAAAATCGCCCTCTCACAGCGTTTTGTCCAGTGGTAAAGACTGATGGTAAAGTCCCCTCGCTGGTAAAGTGCATATATGTAGAAAGCTGGTAAAGTGCATATATGTAAAAAAGCGTCCCGGTTTAGCCCCGGGTTAGTCTCCCCAGCATCCTGTCCACGTTCTCGGGAGTCACAGGATCGAACTCCTCCCAGATGACATTCTCAAGACTCGCCTCAGACACATCGCCTGAACCCACCCAGTCAGAGTCCGAGCCGTCCCGAATCTGAGCAATTTTATCGTGCAGATAACACGCAAAATCCTCAGCATGCCCTTGCAAGGGGTCTTCCCGCGCTCAAAGATGGAGAAGGGAGCGGGTCACCCTAAACAAGGCGGCTGGGCGATTATCTGCCGACGCGATAAGAGCGGAGAAGTAATTACACTTCGCCGCTTTTATCGCCACTAAGTAAGTCTTGATATAAGACCTCACTAGTGCTCGGTCAGATCCAGAACGACTAGCCCTCCAACTACTCTCTAGGCGTCTTTTCTGGCGCTTCATCTCCCTCAGCTCCTCGGAGAACCAAGGAGCTGGGCCGATTCGGCGCCGGGTCAGAGGCCGCAAAGGCAAAGGTACAACCACAACTTTTTGCTTTTACACAAAAGTATGTACAAGCCAAACAAAATCAAAGTTTCATTTTGTTTTTATTGCAAGCAAAAAAATCCAGCAGCAATTTCAGAATAGAAACAAGGTTAAATATATTCTCTTCTTTGGGTTAAAGAATCAATTTGACCATCTCTGCTTCTCTTTGGTGAGGGGAGCAATATATGTTTCTGTTAACTCATTAATGTTTATCATAATTTATATTAAAATCCTCTATATTATTTCAATTTTTTTTAACCTAAAGGGAGAAAACACTTTTTTTAGTTTTGATATTTTACTAACTTTAAAAAGTACTCAAGTATTATATATAAAGGAGAAAAAAAGAAGACCCTTCATTTTAAACCCAAACACAATACTACATTAGAGGTTTCATTCAATTATATATATCACACCAATTAACTCCGATTAGCTCATTGAATTTGAATCTCTCTCTCGAGTTTATCCTCATGGAATGGATCTTTTTCTTTTACTTTCAAATTTAGTCAATTTTCCAAATTTGGGAATTATTCAGCATTAGTAAAAAGACAGAGGACATACATTTACAAACTCATTTTATACATACAAAACTAATTTAAAGCTTTCTTTCAATATCAAACTTGTAAAAGTCCATCCTAACTAATTAAGTCATTAAATTTAAATTCAGAGCCCAAACTTTGATTATAGGACCATGGGTGTCCGTGTGTCCGTCTGCAGTGGCTGTAACAGTTAAAGGTTGTAACTCGAGGATTACCTGTGTAGGTTACACTCCTTTACATAAAGAAATAGCAGAACCTGAAGGGATAGCATTGCAGAAAAGGGCTATGCATTACTAATTAAAAAATGGCTTGGTAACACTTTTCATACATTGGTCAAAGAGTAATTGTAGCACTAGCAAAAGATTCAGCCATTGCAGTGGATATTAGTTGTATTAGTAGAAACTGTATTTCTCCCAGTTTTCCTTTAAATATTGACAGGTGACATGCGTAGTAGTTAATAGTAATAATATATGTTCTGCTATTTTATCTCTTAAGGGTCTAAGGAGAAGATTTTAGGAGAATAGACCAACTGAATAGAGGAGACAGCATATGAATCACTGACGTGAATGAAAAAGAAATAAGTGTTGACGTATAAAGAAAAATTACACAGATATTGTGGTCTCCTAACTGGGTCCCAAATTATTACTTACTTACTTACTTACTTACTTACTTACTTACTTACTTATTTAATTTGATTTGTATGCCGCCCTATCTCCATAGGACTCAGGGCAGCTCACAACAATTCAAATCAAACCAGATAAAAACATATTAAAATACAAATTAAACATATGTTAAAACTCATTAAAATAATCAAACTAATCAAACCTGGGAAAGGAATCTGAATCTAAAAAGACACATGTTTTTGGGTGTTATTATTATTATTCATATTTCTATGCCGCCCACTCTCTGAGGACTCTGGGCGGCTTACACCAAAGACAGTATACTAAATAGCATATTGCCCCCAACAATCTGGGTCCTCATTGTATCCACCTCGGAAGGATGGAAGGCTGAGTCAACGTTGAGCCGGTGAGATTTGATCCGCTGATCTGCTGAACTAGCAGTCAGCTGAAGTAGCTGCAGTACTGCACCCTAGCCTCTGCGCCACCTCAGCTCTTGTGCATGGATTGGTGTTTGTGGGTGTTGCTAAATGGAAAGCTTTTCAATTACTCATTCTAGATTTTAGTGTCTCTGTTAAGCTCTCACCCTTCTTAGCTTTTGAAGACCAGCCAAGATCAACAGATTCTCAAATGAATTCAACCCTTTTAACAGAATGTAGATAATAGAATGTTGTATACTTTTTAAAAGGCTGTGTCTTATATCTAAAAATAATTTTCCGTCTTCTGTAAGCATCCTGGTCTTCCTTCTTGTGACAGTCCCATTTCTAATTCCAGGTCATACAAATGTAGAAATGCAGAACATAGATGAAGAGCAAGATCTGCAACGCACTTCTCCCAATGGAAATGCAGGAGGACAAGAGGAAAACTCAGGTAGTAATAACGGTATCGAGAATTGGAAGCCATTCACCCATATGAGGGATTGAACTGTCCAAGCCACAACCACCGGAGCATACGGAGCAATACAAAACACATACTTTGTCCCCGATTGGATTTTTAAAAACTCCTGCTGAATTTTAATCTCTCAAGAGAAAGAGAGCAGGCGTTTAGAGTCTGCTACAGGGGACAGCCTTAAAATAAATGTAATGAAATAAAGAAGCAAATGTGACTACAGAGAAAGGGACTAGTCCTAGTAAGCTGTAATGAGTAATTGACATAAAGTATATAGTAAGTGACAAGATGAGAGCGGAAAGTCAGCTTCAAACATACAAGAATATAAATGAATATAGGTTTGAATATATATAAATATAAAAGAATATAGGTTTTTAGTATGGATCTGCCTGAGTATGTTCCTTGTCCAGGATGCTGTAGAAAGGAGAAGAAAAATGGATTTGTTCCAAGGACCATTTGTAGTTTATCTCAAGCAATTAAATGTCTTAGGCTAGTTTTACCCCACCTTTATGCAGACTTTGTGTAGTTTCTCTGCAGTACCATCAATTTATTTAATAATTTGTTTCTATATTATTATATATTATATTATATTATATTATTCCATTTCTATAGCCACTCTATTCAAACAAGTGACTCTGGGTGGCTTACAATTCTAAAATTATGGAATGATTAAAATAATTAAAAACAATAAAACACTAAAAACATCCAGAAAATAAATACAGACAGCAGCCAAGATAATTAATCAATGGTAAAGCCAAGGAATGGGGCCAGTGGTGGGCTGCAACCGGTTTACAACCGATACGGTGAGTGCGTGCCTAGGGCGCTTGCGCGCAGTGCTAAAATTGGAGCTTTTTGAAGCTCAGCTGCTTACCTTCTAAGTCAGCCCCGGTAAGTAGAACAGTGGAGGCGTAGAAATCAGCTGTGACGTGCAATTCAGATGAGGTAGAAACAAGGAAATAAAGGACAGGATAGGGTGAGGGGGCAGCTGATTGTCGGAACTACCGGTTCGCCTGAACCGGTCTGAACTGTCAGCAGCCCACCACTGAATGGGGCCCTTACCCCAGTCCAGGTTCCAGACCCAGGTACCTAGCCAAGTTTTTAATGCCTTGTGAAAGGCCAACAGGGTTGGGGCCATTCTAATCTCCAAGGGAGAATAGCCCACAAGGCAGGGACTACAATAGAAAAAGCCCACTTTTAGTTCCTGCCAGTCAACACTCTTGACGGGATCTGCAGCAGGCCCAATCCTGCTTCACCAGACCCAATTTTGTTTCATATTTCAATCTTCTTTTAACTGAACCAGATGAAATTCAATATAATCTGGGGGACCACATTTATTTACAAGAAGGCCTCTAGTTCCATCATGGACACCAAGGAGATCTGCAAGTCTTCTTAGGGGAGGAAGAAAGGATAAAGATAAGATAAAATACAATAAGATAAGATGGCAAGAACTCCTAAGCAGTTTTATTTGCTCAGTTAGAACATGGTAGTTCAATTTATTTTCATCAGAATCAGACTTACATTTTGATTGATGCGAGAGGACAACTATTGGCTTTGGAAATTAAAAGGCAAAAAGCAAGAAAATCTTAGCAACTTAGAAATGTGTATATTTTATTTAGGGATTTCTGCTCACCAGTATCAGATATCTTTCTACCTTCCTTTGATGTAACAGATGAGTACTGATGAATCTTGTTTTTCTCTCTTTTTTTGTGCAGAAAAAAAATGTTTGTCAGCTTGCTCTAAATACAGAAAAGCAATAATTGGAGTTGTCATTTCTTACATCCTCCTCCTGATCATCATTTTTATCCTCGTTGCCCATTTCCTGTCATGCACCACAGAAAATCAGAAGATCCAGGCAGTTCAAACCGGTATAAAAATTTACTACAAGCTTTAGCTGTCTACAAGAATCTGAACTACTAACGGCCAAAGCAAATTGGTGGTAGATAAGAATCAAAGGCATTCAAGGTGGGCTGGACTTAGATATCTTGTGGGTGGGAAGGGACTCAATACTGTGTTTCACCCCCTCCCTTGGGCTCAGCCTGCTACATTTCCTACATCTCGCTTATTACCAGGGTAAGAAATCTAGTCCCTAATCCTGTTCTCAGGAAAAGCTTCTCCATGACTTCATGAAGCTGAATGACCTCTGCAGATGGGTTAGAAACATAGAATTGGCCTTGCCCTGCTTTCTAGTCACTGCAATCTGCTTCATCTAGTCCAGGAAAACATCAGTTCCTTTATTTGGAAAAAGTCTCAGTGTTTGGTTGAAAGTATCACTGAATCTTATTTTGTGAGTTTAATCCAGAATGAGATAGCCGGAAGGGGAAAAAAAGAATACTCATTTGGCACTAGTGAGAAGAGCAGAAATAGTGGTTTAAGGGGTTTAGCAGGAAAATGAATTGAAAATAGCAAACATTTGGGTCTTTTTTGCCAGGTGACTGTAATAGTAAAGGCAAATCTCAAAAAATGAAATAAGCAAACATTTATTTATTTAGTGCTTTCCTTCCAAAAGCAATAATTGTGAAAAAGATGGGCCAAATGTCAAATAGGTTGACCAAATTAGTGGAACATCTCACAAAGAGATTCATAGCTGAATAAGTGAATCCACCATGCAAATCACCGCTCAGGTGCACAATCTCTATTAATGTCAGGATTATAAAATGGAAGTTGTTACAACAGCTAGAATATGGGTCTCCTTATCCAGATTGGGTTTTATTAGAAATCAGTAACACATTCTAATTTAGCAGGATGGTCCCATCCTACTTATAAGAACAAGACTGGATAAGTCAGTTTCTATTCTTTCCACCTCTTTTTGTTCTAGGAACACCAGTGCCATTAAACTGCCAAAAGGATGCCACAAAATGTCTACCTCTTCCATGTCCACCTGACTGGATTGGACATCAAGGACACTGCTACAAATTGTCAGAAGAGGAAAAAAACTGGACGGAGAGCCAGAACTCCTGTATTTTACATAATGCTTCCCTGGCCAAATATACAGAGGAGAAAATGGTGAGTAATGTAACTGGTTTTGTCCAGGATAAATCAGTTCCTAGAAATAATGTTGCGTCATTGATGGTGCATGCTCTTTTACATAACCATCCAGTTAAAGGATTTTCTCCTAAAACCAGTAAAAAAACATCTCCTTAGATGCCCCTCCAGTCAAAAGCTTCAGGATCCTCTTAAACTTTCTCCAGGTTCCAGAGAATGCCAGCTTCACAAAGCACGCTCTGTTGACATAAAAAATTAAAAATTCAAGAATATTGAATATTGAATATCTAAACATTATTGAATTAAGTCAGTCATCGCGTGTTTCATTTCTTGCTGCACAGAAACTTGGAAACATCTAATAATCTCAGAGGTAAAGATAGAATTAGGAAGCCAAAAATAAAATGGTAGAAATTACCAAGATCCATTCTAGGAAGAGCAGGGTTTTTCTTTTATCTTCTACAAAAGGTTTAAAAATCACTTCAAAAAAAGTAAACAAGGTTCTCCCGTTTTGCCTCTCACTATCTGCGTTCCTTCCGCCGTGCTGTGAAGACCTTTTTATTCCATCAAGCGGGCTTGGCCTGATCTGTTCCCTTTTTAAAATATGTAAATTTTAATCTGTTTTTAAATTATTGGGGTATTTTAATTTGTCTGGGCCAAAAAGTTTAATTTGATTTTATCGGGTTTTTAAATTTTGTGTATTTATGTATTTTATTGTTGGCTGTTCACCGCCCTGAGTCCTTCGGGAGTAGGGCGGTATACAAATCAAATAAAACCTAAAACCTAAACTAAAGGAATTACTAGCTGGGTTTTATTAGGGTTCAAAATACCCTGTTAGTTTTTTTAGCCTATATGTAAGTTCAGAAATTAAACTAGCAATCTAACAAAGCAACGTTCTAACATGTACCATTTTTTAAAGGGTATTATGAGAATGTTCACAAGAGACCATGTCTTTTGGATCGGCCTCAAGAGAGAACCAGTTCAACCCTGGAAGTGGCTAGATGGAGAAAATGCAACGTGAGTCTTCCTCTTTCCCTTTCAGTTGGCAAGAGCTGAAAGTAAAATACCTCCATTGAGGCTCCGTGCATCTCGGGACTGATCTCAGAAAGAGCCCCCTGGCTGCCAGTATTCAGGCGTTGCTCTCTAAAAAGATTTGGCTGTACTGACGTAGTTAAAAATGTATTACGAGGAGTCCTCAACTTCTAGCCATTCATTTAGTGACTATTCAAAGTTATAACAGAACTGGAAAAAAAATGTATGATCAGTCTTTGCAGTTACAGCCATCGCAGCATCCCCCATGGTCATATGATCAAAATTTGGTCACATGGCAACCCATGTGTATTTATTTATTATGTTTATTTTATTTATTTATTCTATATGGCCACCCAACTCATTCATGGTGACTCTGGGCAATTTAACCGAAATAAAACAACAATACTAAACCCTCACTGCCCTGGTGACAACAATCAAACCAACCCATTGTTCAGCTGTATATCTCCCTGGGGTCCCCACAGCTGTTAGAATGGTTGCAGCATCCCAAGGTCATTGATCACCATTTGCGACCTTCCCAGCTGGTTTCCAACAAACGAAGTCAAGAAGGGAAGCTGATTTGCTTAAAACCACACGATTCACATAGCCATTGTAGCGATCTACTTAACAACTGTGGCAAAAAAAGGTCACAAAACCAGGCATAATTCACTTACGTGAGGGGCTTGGTGATGTCTTGAGCTCCTAACTCACTTAACAACCATCTTGCTTAGCAATGGAAATATCTAGTCCTGATAGTGGTTGCAAGTCAAGGACTGCCTATATAATTGTTGTGTTCAGAATCCCACTTGGAACTGAGTCCAGAATGCTCCGAGGGACACAGATCTGCTGAACAATCAAAACATCCCAATAGATGAATTGGGGAACAATCTGCAGAATCATCTTTAATTGAGAAAGTATCCAGGTCCTGTCCTAATGTCCACAAGACAATCTGTGGGATAGATAACCTCCTGAATAACTTGGAGAGCTGCTACTACTTACAGTAGATAGTAAACTGCCTTGGAGTTTCCCAGCGTGGTCCCTTCTGATTAGGTTGCACTGCAACTTCTATTATTCTCAATCTTTGTGCCCAAGGGTAGGAAATATGGTGGCTATGGTCCAGTCCAGCATTTCTAGAGGGCGCCAGGCCAGGCCAGGCCAGGCCAGGCCAGGCAAGGCTCAGCTAGATGAACTGCATATTCATGACCCCTTTGGTAACTCTTATCTGGGAGGTTATCTCCACCGCCTAATTTCTGCTTCTGTTACAGGGTGAAAATCATGGGGAATGGAGGAGATTGTGCTTTTATGGACAATGATGTCGCATTCATGTCAGTGAGATGCAGCAGTCAGCACTACTACATATGCCAAAAAAAATGCTCCTAAGAGACCCTGAAAGAGAACTGGAAGTATAGCTAGTTCTTGACTTACAACAGTTCATTTAGTGACCATTCAAAGTTACAACAGCACTGAAAAAAGTGACTTACCATTTTTCAGACTTACAATGATCACAAGTTTAAAATTCAGATGCTGAGCAAGATCCTGCCATCACCTTCTGTGGCCTTCTGACAAGCAAACTCAACGGGGGCAAGCAAAGATGCACTTACCAACTGTGTTGCTGACTTAACAACTGCAGTGACTCCCTTAACAAGTGGGACAAGAAAGGTCGTTAAATGGGACCAAACTCACTTAACAATTGACTCGCTTAGCAACAGAAATTTTGGACTCAATTGTGGTTGTTAGTCGAGGACTACCTGTTGTCAGACCTGGAAGCCATCTTTTGTATTTGGGCATTTGCAGTTACATGATCCCGACTTTCAGCCTTTTTTGCTGAAAATGGGTGTTTTCCACAAAAAACACCCATTTGGGAAGCTGGATTCACTTAATTGTGGTGGCCACTGTAAAAATGGTTGTAAAATTGGGCCTGATTCAGTTTATGACACTAATGACTTACGATGGAAATTCTGTTCCTAATTGTGATAGAGAATTACCAGGAATTACATGCAATTAGGAATTACTGCTCAATTAGGAAGTTGAAGACCCAGATTGTTGGGGGCCATATGCTGACTATGTAAACCGCTTAGAGAGGGCTGTAAAAGCACTATGAAGCAGTATATAAGTCTAAGTGCTATTGCTAATTGTAAGTCGAGAATTACAGGACCATCATGGCGGCCATAGGCCTATCCCAAAACAGCGGGGCAGGCTTCGAAACTCATGCACCAGTTACAGTTTTCTTGTCTTCAGTAGTAGCAATGTGATCTGAAAGGGAAACTATTTCTGTCGTGTCTCCCTGCCCCCCCCCCACTCCACCTCCATCATGACCGAATCATTCCCTGGTGACCAAAACACTATATAGTATAAATGATGGTAATGATAATGATACACAGATAGCCCTTAACTTATTAGTGACCATTGACCAAAGTTACAATGGCACAGAAAAAAGTGACATGACCATTTTTTGCACATATTTATTATTTATTTATTTATTGGTTCGATTTATATGCAACCCTTCTCCGGAGACTCAGGGCGGCTTACAATGCGTTAAGCAATAGCCTTCATACTTTTGTATATACCTGCTTAGTAGGGCTTTCGGCCCCCCCTAAACGGTGTTCTTTGTTATACAAAGTCAGCTTATTGCCCCCACAATCCGGGGTCCTCATTTTACCCTTTGTAGCAGCCCCATGGTCATGTAATAAAAATTCAGACACTTGGCAACTGTCTCATATTTAAGTTGTCAAAATAATAAAGATAAATAAATTAAAATAAATTAAACCCCAGAGATGCGTGATTCCGTTTATTGTGTTCCGGCTCAGAAAAACAAATTCTGCTTCTTGGCTTTTACTCGAACATAAATACACCGTAACAAAACTCTATTGCTATTCAGCAGAAACAAAAAAAGACAAAATCCTTACTTGGAGTCTTTGTGGGCCACAAAGAAGATTGGTTTAATGTCATATACCCCTCTACATGCTTTCAAGATGGAGTGCATCAAATGATAGTTTTGGTCTTCAGGCTGCAAAGGAAATGTGAGTCTTTTTCGCCATCTGAAGTGTGAAACCACAAGGAAATATCTCAGAAGGGTTTTTGCACCAATGAGAATCCTGCATACCAGCCACACCAGATATAAAGGGTTAGCAGACCATCTCTTTAATGAAGGACTTTCCTTTATTAGCCTTCCAATGTGGCATCTCCATTGGTCTTGAATATCCAGGGTATCTGTCCAGCCTCACAGAAAAACAACACAAGATTTCAGAAAAGTCTAATGGTGTAGGCAGGTAAACACAGAATCCTGGAGACTGTAGGAGGAATTTCCTCATTTTTAGAGAATTTATTTTATTTATTTTATTTTATTTATTTTTATTTATTTATTTATTTATTTATTAGATTTTTATACCGCCCCCTCTCCCGAAGGACTCGGGGCGGTGCACAGCCATAGTTAAAAACATACAATATAAACAATTAAAATACGTTTAAAACAGAATTAAATCTAAAATGGCTCCCCAATTTAAAATGCCTTACCCATACCCCTATAAAAAGACGAATTTAAAATTTAAAAATTTAAAATTTCCACATTTAAAAAGGGGGAAGATTTAGGCCAGGCCAGCTTGATAAAATAGAAAAGTCTTAAGTGCGCGGCGGAAGGTGCGCAGATCCGGGATCCTACGTATCTCCGGGGGGAGCTCGTTCCAAATCGTAGGTGCCCCCACAGAGAAGGCTCTCCCCCTAGGGGCCGACAGCCGACATTGTTTGGCCGACGGCACCCGGAGGAGCCCCTCTCTATGGGAGCGTACTGGCCGGTGGGAGGCTATTGGTGGTAGCAGGCGGTCCCGTAAATAACCAGGTCCTGAGCCATGGAGCGCTTTAAAGGTGATAACCAGAACCTTGAAGCGCACTCGGAAGACCACCGGGAGCCAGTGCAGCTCGCGCAGGAGAGGTGTCACATGGGAACTCCATGTCGCTCCCATCACCACCCGCGCGGCCGCACTCTGCGCCAGTTGGAGCCTCCGAGTGCACCTCAAGGGGAGCCCCATGTAGAGAGCATTGCAGTAATCCAGACGAGAAGTAACGAGGGCATGAGTGACTGTGTGTAGGGAGTCCCGATCTAGATAGGGACGCAACTGGCGGATCAGGCGAACCTGATGAAAAATCCTCCCGGACACGGCCGTCACATGCTCTTCTAGCGACAGCCGTGAATCCAGGAGGACGCCCAAGTTGCGAGCCCTATCCGTGGGGGCCAATGATTCGCCCCCAATAGTCAGCGATGGCATTAGCTGACTATATCGGGACGTCGGAAACCACAGCCACTCGGTCTTGGATGGGTTGAGCCTGAGCCTGTTCCTCCCCATCCAGATCCGTACGGCCTCCAGGCACTGGGACATCACTTCAAGGGCATCGTTGGGGTGATCCGGGGTGGAGATGTACAGCTGGGTGTCGTCAGCGTACTGATGGTACTCCACCCCAAAACCACGGATGATCTCGCCCAGCGGCTTTACATAAATGTTGAACAACAGGGGCGAGAGGACCGATCCCTGCGGCACCCCACATATGAGGGGCCTCGGGGTCGACCTCTGCCCCCCTGTCAACACAGACTGCGACCGGTCGGAGAGAAAGGAGGAGAACCACCTTAGTACGGTGCCTCCCACCCCCAACTCTTCCAACCGGTGCAGCATGATACCATGGTCGATGGTATCAAAAGCCGCTGAGAGATCTAACAGGACCAGGACAGAGGAACAGCCCCTGTCCCGAGCCCTCCAGAGATCATCAACCAACGCGACCAATGCCGTTTCCGTGCTGTATCCAGGCCTGAAACCCGACTGGAACGGATCCAGATACGACGCTTCATCCAGGTACTGGGGAAGCTGTCCCGCAACCACACTCTCAACAACCTTCGCCACAAAACGAAGGTTGGAGACTGGACGATAATTAGCCAATATTGCCGGGTCCAGGGAAGGCTTCTTGAGGAGGGGCCTCACCACCGCCTCCTTAAGGGCGGCGGGGAAGACACCCTCACCCAATGAAGCATTTATAATCCCCTGGAGCCAGCCTCGCGTCACCTCCCGGGAAGCCAGCACTAACCAGGAGGGACACGGGTCCAACAAACATGTGGTCGCGTTCAATCTACCCAGAATCCTGTCCATGTCATCTGGGGTCACAGGATCAAACTTTGATTTGATTTGTATACCGCCCTACTCCCGAAGGACTCAGGGCGGTGAACAGCCAACAATAAAATACATAAATACACAAAATTTAAAAACCCGATAAAATCAAATTAAATTTTTTGGCCCAGACAAATTAAAATACCCCAATAATTTAAAAATAGATTAAAATTTACATATTTAAAAAGGGAAGAGATCAGGCCAAGCCCGCTTGATGGAATAAAAAGGTCTTCACAGCACGGCGGAAGGAGCGCAGATCCGGGATCCTTAATCATTTAATTAATTTTGGAATGATTTGAAATGCTGCTTCCCAGGTTTTCTGCTCCTAGGGCTAAGATGTGGCTTATGAGGTAAAGGTTCCCCTTGCACATATGTGTTTTTCATTCCCGACTCTAGGGGGTGGTACTCATCTTCGTTTCAAAGCCGAAGAGCCAGCGCTGTCCGAAGACGTTTCAGTGGTCATGTGGCCGGCATGACTAAACGCCAAAGGCGCACGGAACACTGTTACCTTCCCACCAAAGGTGGCCCCTATTTTTTCTACTTCCATTTTTTACGTGCTTTCAAACTGCTAGGTTGGCAGAAGCTGGGACAAGTAACTGGAGCTCACCCCATTACGCGGCACTAGGGATTTCATCCACAACTGCTGACCTTTCAATTGACAAGCTCAGCATCTTAGCCATTAAGACACCACATCCCTTGCTTATGAGATAAAATGCCACATAATCTCTTGTTTATCTGTGTTTACCTCTTCCCAGCCAAGAAAACAAACACATGAATCGTTGAACAAAACAACCCAGAGTTCTCAAGGCACGAATGACCAGCCTCAAATGATATTTTATGTATCATCATCCCTGCACTGCCGTTCTTGACGGTTGATATGAGATGTTTGTGTTGATATGTTTGGTTTTTGCCAAATGTGGCACTCTGCATTATGGCCAAACATCCCCACTTTGGGTCTCATCTGTCCTAAGGACAGTGTTCCAAAAGCCTTGTGATTTGATGTGAAAACTGAGCTCTCTAGAGGAGGCTCTAATGCTGAGAAAATGAATCAACTGGCAGCACTTTTTAGGTACCTTTTAGGTACCTTTTTACCTAAAGGTGCTTTTTGCAAAAGGCAACTGGGCTTTGTTTTTTTCCCTTTTGAAAATGTTTCCCTTCTCATACAAGAAGCTTCTTCAATTCTAACTTCTTTCAGATAGAATTGGAGAAGCTTCTTGGATGAGAAGTGAACTGTTTTCAAAAGAAACCCAAGAAATCCCGGTAGCCTTTTGCAAACAGCACCTTTGGGACAATCACAACCTGGATGATTGAGAATCTCCATAGACATTTAGACCAGCTGGCCTGAAGCTTGGGAAGAAGAATTTCATATCATTCAAACCTGCTCTGCTCTAATGGCATCACTACAAATGAGGGTTGAAAATGCCATTTGTGGTTTCAGAAATTCAGTAGATATGTATCCCAAGCTACCATTGAAGAGACTAAATGAAGTCTGTATGATAGTTTCTTGGCCACCTGGGTGGGACTTGACTTTGGGGCCAGTTAGATGAGACTTCGCCCGCATTCAGACAAACAGTTTGGTTTAGTGGTTAACGCAACCAGCTAGAAAGCAGGAGACCATGAGTTTAAGTCCCACCTTACGTCATGAATGCCATCTGGGCAACTTTGGGCCAGTCATTCATTCCAACCTACCTCACAGGGTGGTTGTGGGGAAAATAGGAGGAGGAAGGTGTGTTGGCTACATTTTTTGTTATTTGGAATTGGAATATTCTTTATTGGCCAAGTTTGATTGGACACACAAGGAATTTGTCTCCGGTGTATAAGCTTTCAGTTACATACAAATAACAAAATGATAAGCTATAGATCATAAATCGTAAGATAGATACAACAAGTGTTAAGAAGGTAGTAGGAAAGATGAGAAGAGAATAGCAATTCAGCCCTACTACATGGGTAACTATCTTTAGGCATAAGCCAGTGCTGTAGGATGTTTTAGATGTTTTAATAGAGAATGGCATGGGGGAAAATATCTTTGTGACTAGTCGTTTTGGCATGCAATGCTCTAGTGGTATCCTGAAAGGAGAAGTTGAAACAGTTTATGTTCAGGATGCGAGGAGTCCACAGATATTTTTCTCAGCTCTCTTTCTGGCTAGTGCAGTACACAGGTCCTCAGAATAAATATTAAGGTTTGGTGTGATGTTGATTGAGTTAGATAATAAGCCAAAAGGAAGACTTCTGAAGGCTTTACAATGAGGAACTATTTGGGAGGAGAAATGAGAAAGGATCAGTCGCCTTGATCTGTTGCTGAAGAGTGAAATTCCTCCTTCGCTTTCTCCTTTCTGATAAATGAAGTTGCTGCCTCCGAAACAGAAATTTATCTTATATATTTTGATAAATAAAAAGTGTGGTAAGCCTTGGAAACAAAGCAGGTGGTTCCTCGCTGGTCTCACAGCACTTCCTGTGCGATCTTGTCGCCCACCTTCAGAAAGCCGTGGTTGGGGAGGCTCAGGCTGCTCATACCAAGAAGGGTTGGTACAAAAGTGCTCTTCCTCCTTCAGATTAAACTAGTAGCTGGAGTAACAATGAAAGAAGAAGGCTGTAACTTCTACTTGAATTACCGGCCAAACAGAATGCAAAGGAGACTCAAGCAATCTCAGCTGCAAGGTAAGCTATGGCTTATTTATAGTTATTGGGGGCTTCTAAGTGGATGGTTTTGATGGCCTCAGTGCAAATATCTTCGTGGGGATCTCAACAATAAGGGAAAGAATGTAATTGCCAATTTCTCTTTTGATCAGGTATCTTATCGATGCAATCTATTGTATGAGTTCACCTTTCTCATATTTAGCCTTTTCACTGCTCCACAAGGCAAGACTTCTTATTTTCAGCAGGATAACAAAATAACAGAGTTGGAAGGGATCTTGAAGGTCTTCTAGTCCAACCCTCTGCTCAAGCAGGAGACCCTCTGCCGGTTCAGACAAATGGTTGTCTAATCTCTTTTAAAAAATCTCCAGCGATGGAGCACCCACAACTGATTAAATGGTGGTCTCTAATAATGCTCCGTAACTAGCAATGAGCAGTGAAGAAAGTCTGTTTTCAATTCTAGTGTGTTTCATGGCATAAATCACTTTATTTTAAAATAACATATTGTTGTTGTTGTTGTTTTAATTTGATTTATATGCCGCCCTTCTCCGGAGACTCAGGGCGGCTTACAATGTGCTCAGCAATAGCCTTCATCCTTTTTGTATATTTATACAAAGTCAGCTTATTGCCCCCACAACTGGGTCCTCAATTTACCTACCTTAGAAAGGATGGAAGGCTGAGTCAACCTTGAGCCTTGGCGAGATTCGAACCCTGCAGTAATTGCAGGCAGCTGGTCTTAATAACCAGCTTAATAACAGGGTGCCTTAAACCCCTGTACTACCAAGGCCCCTAATATTGTCTTCCATGCTTTGTCTCCAAGGCTTTCACATGAGTATATGTACAAGTAATCCTCGACTTACGGCCACAATTGAGCCCAAAATTTAAGTGAGAAAATTTGTTAAATGAGGTTTGCCCCATTTTACGACTTTTTCTGTCGCAGTTGTTAAGTGAATCATTGCAGTTGTTAAATTAGTAACACGGTTGTTAAGCGAATCAGGCTTCTCCATTGACTTCGCTTGTCAGAAGGTTGCAAAAGGGGATCGCATGACCCTGAGTCATTGCGACCGTCGTAAATATGAATCAGTTTCCAAGCATCGGAATTCTGATCACGTGACCAAGGAGATGCTGCAATGGTTGTTAAGTGTGAAAAACAGACATAAGTCGCTTTTTTCAATGCGGTTGTAACTTTGAACAGTCACTAAAGGAACTGTTCTAATTTAAGGACTACCTGTATATGTACCCTGTTTTCTCCAAAATAAGACATCCCTTGATAATAAGCCCAATTGGGCTTTTGAGCGTTTGGCAATAAGGCCAAGCGCTTATTTCAGGGTTCAAAAAAATATAAGACAGGGTCTTGTTTTCAGGGAAACACGGTACATGTAACTCAACTAAAGTACAGGTAGCCCTTGACTTAAAAACCATTAGCAACCGTTCAATGTTGCCATTCAAAAAGTTGGAAGCGGGAAAAAAGTGTGTTACAACTGTCTCTAATTGATAACCAGCATGCATTTAGGATGGTTCCTGGATAGGAGCCTGGATAGCTCAGCAGACTAAAGCCTGTTATTAACATTCAGCTGTCTGCAATTACTGTAAGTTCGAATCTCACCAGGCTCAAGGTTGACTCAGCCTTCCATCCTTTCTAAGGTGGGTAAAATGAGGACCCAGTTTGTGGGGGCAATAAGCTGACTTTGTATAAAATATACAAAAGTATGAAGGCTATTGCTTAACGCATTGTAAGCCGCCCTGAGTCTCCGGAGAAGGGCGGCATATAAATCTAATTTAAAAAAAAAAAAAAATGGTTGCAGCATCACTTCACAACCATGTCAAAAAAAGTTTGTAAAATCAGGCACAACTCACTTAACAGCTGACTTGCTTAGCAGCGGATGTTCTGCTCCTAATTGTGGTCATAAATCGAGGATTACCTTTCTGCTAGCTCAGATTCTGCTTTCTTCCATTTTGAGGATTTCAGCTCAATCCTTAGTATGAAATAAGGGATGAACTAGCAACAGAATGGTCTAGTAGTTTAAACCATGAAGTCCTGTCTCCACATTGAAAGTATAACTCTTGCCGTATTATTTTCTATGTTTAATTTGGCCTTTTCTTTCCTACAAAACGGTAATAAAAATTTGCATTCTTCATAGCCATTGTTCATAACGTGCCTGCTCTTTTTGATGGCCCTTCTGTATCAAAGAAATCTGATTTTTTTCCCCCCAGTCTTCCACAATTTGATAGCTTCAGATATTTCAGATTATAACTTGTGGCTGTATTGGGCAACGATGACCTTGTTGGTGGGGGATAATATTCCAAAAGATTTGGTGGGGAAGGCTGGATTATTCTGTTCTAGGCATTTTTCTATATTGATAATACTAAAAATACTGGAAATACGACATGTTAACTTTACATCGTAAAGTTATAGCTGATATTTCTCTCTCACACACAAAGATTAAAATAAAACCATGTGTGTGTATATATACATCCACACACACAAATACAGAGAGAGAGGGAGAGGGAGAGGGGGAGGGAGGGAGGGAGAGAGAGGGAGAGGGAGAGGGAGAGGGAGGGAGGGAGGGAGGGAGGGAGAGAGAGAGAGAGAGAGAGAGAGAGAGAGGGAGAGAGGGATGTATTTTGGGGGGAAACAGAGTACATTAGTTGAGCTACCAAAAACACAACTGAAAAGGACTAACACAGGGGTCTTCCTTAAGATTTTATAATCCTTTGCTGTTGTTAGCTGTGAAGAGCCTTGGTAGTACAGTGGTTTAAAGCACCCTGTTATTAACACAGCTGCCTGCAATTACTGCAGGTTCGAATCTTACCAGGCTCAAGGTTGACTCAGCCTTCCATCCTTTCTAAGGTAGGTTAAATGAGGACCCAGTTTGTGGGGGCAATAAGCTGACTTTGTATAAATATACAAAAGTATGAAGGCTATTGCTTAATGCATTGTAAGCCGCCCTGAGTCTTCGGAGAAGGGCGGCATATAAATCAAATTTAAAAAAAATAAAAAATAAAAAAAATTAAATTAAAAAAAAGTCGTGTACGACCCATCGCGACCCCATGGACAACTTTCCTTCAGGCCTTCCTGTCCTCTACCATCCTCTGGAGTCCATTTAAGCTCACGCCAACTGCTTCAGTGACTCCATCCAGCCACCTTGTTCTCTGTCATCCCCTTCTTCTTTTGCCTTCATTCTTTCCCAGCATTAGGCTCTTCTCCAGTGAGTCCTTCTTTCTCATTAGGTGGCCAAAGTATTTGAGTTTCATCTTCAGGATCTGGCCTTCTAAAGACCAGTCAGGGTTGATCTCCTCTAGGATTTAATCCTTAAGATTTTATGATTTGGTGCTCCAGAGTCCATAATCATGTAGAGAGGTCTCAGGGACAAAGAGGTCTCCTTCTCCAGACCAGCACCACGAGACACTGCTAATGGAAGTAGCTCATCTCTCCTTTGAACTTTTCTTCATCATAAAGCCTGGCAGACTCAGAATAACTGCATGATATTTGCACAACATTGGAAAAGTGAAGAGATTCCGATTGAGGAGAAGGTGATTAGGAAAATATTAGAATGTGCAGAAATGAATATATTAACATTAGCAATTAAAGAGAAAGAACAAACTGAATATTATATGATACGGGAAGTATTTTATCAATGGTTAGAGAGTAAAAAGGGAAACTGGAAATAAAAGAAGACGATTAAAGAAGAAAAGAAAACATGTTAAGCTAGAGGTATAAATAAGAAGATAATTGTTAGTATTAGAATGAGGAGGATAATTATGTGTAATGTTGTTATTATTGTATTTTCACTAGAACACACGTTAAGAGGAAAAATGAATAGGCTTACAATGTTTAACTGTTTAACATATTATAATTTTAAGATTAGAGAACTATATTAAGTGAATGACGTTGTAAATGTTGAAGGTTGACACATAGAGTTATTTGGACCCAAATGACACATTGTTTACGGAAAGATGGAATTTTTTTTTTTATTTAAAAAAATGAATAACTGCACAGAGCCCCCATGTCTGTTCTGACAGGAACTTGGTTTTTCAGATCCTCAACCAGCCAGCCAGAAAACCACTTTCTCTTTTCAGCCTTGAGTTAATTTTTTTCTTTGTTTTCATCCCCCCCCACCCAGCTTGGACCACTCACTTCCTCTCCAGTTTGGTTCCTTCACAGATTTCTGTGAAATTAAAAATGAGGGGAAGTCTATCTGAGCCATTTTCAGCTCTTTAGAGTAAGGGTGGAATATAAGGCTGGATGAAGATCAACTGATGCCCTACAGTTCATCAATGGTGCCCTTGTATTGACTCTTCCATTGATCAATGGACAAGACAGTCAGACTCAATACATGCTGAAAGTGAAACAAGATTATAAATTCAGTTTTCTTCCAGGCCATCCCCCAGATTGCACCACACACAGGGCTGGGTTTCACTTGCCTTTGCTACCGGTTCGCTTGTGTGCGCGCCCCCTGTCTGCGCATACGCAGAAGCTTCTGCACATGTGCAGATCGTATTTGATGACATCTGGGTGGGTGGGTGGAGCCTCCTGCCGCCACTGCTACAGGTTTGCCTGAACCGGGGCGAACTGGTAGCAACCCACCACTGACCCCACAGCTGTATTAATTTAAAACTTTTATTTTTTTTTATTTAGAACATTTATATGGCCACCCAACTCACTCAGGAAGCCTACAGAATATATTTATTGAACATTGTAAGCAAATTATTTACTGATATCTAGGCCATTAGAAAAACATGGACATGTTTTTCAACACTTTTTAATGTGTTTTAATAACTTTATTACACTGTAATGGAAAAGTGGAACTACAAAAATTTATGAAAATTAAAGTTGAGTGTGGCAGTGGAAGAGTTAAGAACATGATGGCTAGGGGAAGAAACGTGTACCCTAAACGTGCTTATTTTGCTTAATGATTAAGCCAAGCCAGGTGGGATATAAATGTATGTATAAATATATTATTTGGGGGAAAATATTATTCATAACCAAGTGTGAAACATTTGCTACCAATTTCATACACCTCCATTCTTTCCTTTCAAACCTTTCTGTGGTGGGTTTTTCATAAGGTCCTGATATGACTAACTCAAATATATGAAAGGAAAGAAGAAATTTAACGCTGGACTAAGCTGTCAAGGCTGAGTTCTGTACATTATTTCCTTTTAAATCTATATTAATTTTCCACCAACCACATATTTTATTAGTGAATGTGTTGTAGCCAGGCTCCCCATACCAGCTTTTAAGGTCAACTAACTTTTAAAAATAGAATTTGTGGGTCATCAACTGGAAATAGTTGCAGAATAGCAGATTATGGGGTAAGAATAAGTAGAAACAGCATGCCTCTGACCATATGGTCCTTCTAGGAATTTGTAATTGGTTCCAGAATCAAACTTTCAGATTTTCAAACATTTTTCTGTCAGTGATATTTTTCATCTGCAAGTACTTTGAGTAAGTTTTCACTTATGGGATGATTCATTTGTCACTTTCTTAGTTTTCATTTTCCCTTGAGAGATTAGCAACAATGATGCCCAGTGCTTTACTCTTGCTGATAAACTGAAAAGGATAGAGTAAACTAAGAGTAATCTACCATGGGAGAAGGCCAGGGAAGGGGTAGTATTTTTTACCTACCCCTGGGATAAAAATCTTATTGATATATTAAGATTTATCAATTGTTTTTTGTATCTTATGATTTATGATTGATGAGCCTTTTCTCACTTTGTTGTTTGTATGTACACTGTGAGCTTATGCACCAGAGACAAATTGCTTATGTGGCCAATAAAGGATTCTTTCTTTCTTTCTTTCTTTCTTTCTTTCTTTCTTTCTTTCTTTCTTTCTTTCTTTCTTTCTTTCTTTCTTTCTTTCTTTCTTTCTTTCTTTCTATCTTCCTCATCATCGTCATCTCTATCAACTATCTCTATCTCTCTATCATTTATCTATCATCTATCTACCATCTGTCTGTCTGTCTGTCTGTCTGTGTCTATCTACTTTCTTTCCCTCCTATATCTATCTATCTATCTATCTATCTATCTATCTATCTATCTATCTATCCATCCATCCATCTATCTATCCATCCATCCATCCGGCTATCTATCTAGCTATCTATCATCTATCTACCTATCCAACTAGCCAACTTCCACAAGCAACATCAATCTATCCAGCTAGCTATCTAGCTATCTATCATCTATCTACCTATCCAACTAGCCAACTTCCACAAGCAACATCAATGGGGGAACCCAGATTCACTTAATGACTATATGATTTACTATAAGAACCATTGCAAATAGAGTCATAAAATCGAATGAGACTCACTTGACTGCCCTGCTTAGCAATGGCAGTAGGCCCTAGACTTATATATTTATATACAGTGCTTTACAACCCACTCTTAAGTAACTTTTTAAAGTGCCATTGTAACATTTAACGATCACTAAATGAATTATTGTAAATCGTGGACTACCTATATAGAGGTCTTATTTTCCTTGTTCGCATCTTAACTTATCTCTGTGTTTCCAGATTTCTTGGTGGAACATCCTCGGTGTCATTGCTTCCTGGTAGGATCTGGATGTGCTATAATCCTCATTCTTGTGGCAGCCCTCATAGCCCTGGGCATCAGGGGTAAGTTATTTGAAACTTGATATTTTCCATGAATTCGTTTATTGTACATACGTGAGTCATTTTTAAGAAATTTATTTTAAAAATAAATCCATCATTTATAATTTAAAGTGCGAAGACTGGCCATCCGCCAGTGCCTTTGGGCAGCATGCAAGGAATAAAACAGAGAAAATGAGATTTTTAAAACCACAATAGAAGATAGTTGTTTTTCTCCCCCCGATGAGAAAAAACACAAATCATTAACATAGAATTGTTCAAAGTGGATATACATTTTTAAGAGCTTCAAGGCTTTGCTTTTTTTTTTTTTTTTTTAAGGATAGCAAGGTTGGGATTGCAGAGTTCAATAGGAAAATATCATTCCAAAAAGGAAGCAGTGGAATGGAGAAAGCAACATTGACAAATTATGTGTTCTAAATCAGAGGTGGGTTTCAGCAGGTTCTGACCAGTTCTGGAGAACCGGTAGCAGAAATTTTGAGTAGTTCGGAGAACCGGTAAATACCACCTCTGACTGGCCCTGCCCCCATCTATCCTCTGCCTCCCGAGTCCCAGCTGATTGGGAGGGAATGGGGATTTTGCAATATCCTTCCCCTGGGGTGGGGAGGGAATGGAGATTTTATAGTATCCTTCCCCTGCCATGCCCACCAAGCCATGCCACGCCCACCAAGCCACGCCCACAGAACCGGTAGTAAATTTTTTTGAATCCCACCACTGTTCAGTGTAAATACAGTGTTAATCCTCGACTTACAATAGTTTATTTATTGACCATTCGAAGTTACAACGGAACCAGGCATGGTATTCACTTACCTTCGCTACCGGTTCGCAAATGTGAGTGCGCATGTGTCACCTCCACACATGCACAGGACCTTCCGCGCATGCGCAGAGTGTCAAAAACAGGATGTGATGATGTCCGGGCGGGTGGGCGGAGCTTCCCACCACTGCCGATACCGCTTCACCCAAACTGGCTGAATACCACCACTGAACGGCACTGAAAAAAATGACTTATGACCATTTTTCACACTTACGACTGTTGCAGCAACTTGGTCATGTGATCAAAATTCAGATGCTTGGCAACTGACTCACATTTATGACAGTTGCGGTGTCCCGGGGTCATGTGATCACCTTTTGTGACCTTTTGACAAGCAAAGTCAATGAGGCAGCCAGATTCACTTAACAACGGTGCTACTAACTTCACAACTGCTGTGATTCACTTAACTGCGGCAAGAAAGGCCCTACAATGGGGCAAACCCATTTAACAACTGCCTCATTTAGCAACAGAAATGTCGGGTTCAATTGTGGTTGTAAGTCGAGGACTATCTGTATGTTTCCTATATCATACGAAGGGAGCATAAGAAAGAGAAGAATGGATGGAGATCAAGGTAGTTGATCAGTAGCAATAGCGATAGCACTTAGACTTATATACCGCTTCACAGTGCTTTTACAGCCCTCTCTAAGCGGATTACAGAGCCAGTCTATTGCCCCCAACTATCTGGGTCCTCATTTTACCCACCTCGGAAGGATGGAAGGCTGAGTTCAACCTTTAGCCTGGTGAGATTTGAACTGGAGAGATGGACGGAAATAAGGGGGGGGTCACTCTTCAGCCCATGGGCCAGATGCATCACATGCTGGCCACGCCCACCCCCATTTTTAGCAAAGGGGGAAAAAGTTGCAATACGTTACGTGAGGACAACATGATGACGTGAGTTTAACACCCCTGCTCTTCAGGGAAGGAGCATTATCTGAGTATCTGAGACCAATTCCGCTTTTCTGGCTCCTGGACCTAATTGTAAGAGATCATTTTTATTTAAATTTAAAGGTGGTTTCCTTTAAATGTGGGTGGTTTTTTTTTTTTTTTTTTTTGTGGATTGTGGTGTTTTGTCTTATACTGCAGACTACTTCTGCTAACTGCTGGCTGCCTGCAATTTGGCAGTTCTATTCTCACTAGCTCAAGGTTGACTCAGCCTTCCATCCTTCCAAGGTGGGTAAAATGAGGACCCAGATTGTTGGGGGTGTAAAGGGCAAATATGCTGACTCTGTAACCACTTTGAGAGGGCTGTAAAGCACTGTGAAGCGGTATATAAGTCTAAGTGCTATTGCTATTTTTAATTTCCCCCCTAAATTTAAATAAATAATTAGTTAAAATTTTAAAAATAAAAATTAAAATGTCAAGTCAATTCAGCTCAACTCCATTATATCTTCATGAGGTAGATTCTTTTATTGACTACACAGATTTGAATAGAATTTAAAGAATTGTGATAGAGTTCTTCAAAGGTAACTGTACACAATTTACCTTCTTGGTCTTTAGAAGTGGTAACATTTCCCCCCCCCCATAGAACATCGAATAACAGAGTAGGAAGGGATCTTGGAGGTCATCTAATCTAACCCCCTGCTCAAGCAGGAGAGTCTATACTATTTCAGACAAATGGCTGTCCAGTCTCTTCTTGGAAATCTCCAGTGATAGGGGACCCACAACTTCTGAAGACAAGCCATTCCACTCATTGATTATTTTCACAATTAGAACATTTCTCCTTAATTCTAGATTGCTTCTCTCCTTTACTAGTTTCCATCTATTGGTCCTTATCTTGCTTTCTAGTACTTTAGATTAGTTTGCTCCCCTCATCTTTGTGGCAGCCCCTCAAATACTAGAACACTGCCATCATTTCTCCCCCCGTCCTTCTTTTCACTAGATTAGACATGCCCAAATCCGGCAACCGTTCTTCATATGTTTTAGCCTCCAGCTCCCTAATCATCTTTGTTGCTGTTCTCTGTACTCTTTCCAGAGTCTCAAGATCTTTTTTTATATTGTGGTGACCAAAACTGGATGCAATATTCCAAGTCTGCCATGCTGCTTTGTAAAGCAGTACTAATACTTCACACAATCTTGAGACTATTCCTCTATTAATGCAGTCGAAAACTGCATTGGCTTTTTTGGCTGTCGCCACACACTGCTAGCTTATATTTAAGTGACTGTCCACTTGGACTCCAAGATCCCTTTCACAGGTACTGGCACGGAGCCATGTTTGACCTAGAATAGAATAGAGCTGGAAGGGACCTTGGAGGTCTTCTAGTCCAGCCTCCTGCTCAAGCAGCAGAACCTATACAATCTCAGACAAGTGACTGTCCAGGATCTTCTTTAAAAACCCCAGTGATTTCTGAAGAGAAGCTGTTCCACTGGTTAATTGTCCTCACTGTTAGGAGGTTTCTCCTTAATTCCAGGTTGCTTCTCTCTCTGATTAGTTTCTAACCATTACTTCTTGTCCTGCCCTAACTTGTATCAGTACAGTTGTTTTTTCCTGCCTCAGTTTGACAGGGCCCAGTGTTCAAGTTTGTCAAGATCCTTTCGGATTTTGAGCTGTCGTCTGGGGGGTGGCTATTCCTTCCAGCTTAGTGTCGTCTGCAAATTTGATGAGTCTAAGCTGCCAGGATCTCTTCTCTGCTTTAATTGACTTGTCAAACTCTTTCTAAATATTTTATGCCTCAGCTCACCATTTAATTTCACTGGGAAGATATATTTGAGCAACTATATCATTTGAGCCATAATTTGCATTTGAGTTAGGGGCTTTTAGTTTTACCCTTAAAATTCTTCCTAAGAAGTCCAAAAAAGCTATCTGGCTCAGTGTGCTTATGACGTTGTTGATCATGCCTACCCATTTGGCATAAATGTTAAAGAAAATTCAGAATTTTGTAGTAAGAGATTATACTCAGTTTGCTGTAACTCTCTATAGAAACTACTGGTATGATCTGTAGCTATCTGTGTTCGAAGAGATTTCAAGTTGTTTTTCATACTGATTAGGAGCCTTGTTTGAAAGAGGGACGGCTATATATATGTTTTAAATAAATCAATAAATAAAATATTGGTCTCACTTATTTTTTATGTGGCACATAATTATAAATAACGCACATTTATGTGCTTCCTATTCTGAAATTAAGCAGCTAGTCAAGTCAAAACATTGTGGGAAGTATCGTAATCTATTTTTAAGATCAACATCATTCAACTAAAATAAACATATATCAAGATCCACGTGGCTTGTAGTTGTAATTTAACCTTTAATCACAGGCGTACTATTTGGCTATGCTATTACAGACATGAGGTGATAATGCCAGCTCTAGCTGCTGGTCGTAGTCCAACCCAATCTCTAAGCATAAGAGTTCAAATCTGCACGTGGGCTCCTCATAAGTGCAGGGGAATTTTTCCAGAAGTGCCTTTGAACTAAAGACCAGGAAACAATAATACGATTAGTTTATTGACAATCTTTCCCTCTGGCCAAGGCCTGAAGAGATAAGGGAATATGATCTGCCTTTATAGGATTACGCAAATCCTTACCCAGCAGTGAAGTGTTTATTTGGAGGGTGTGGTCAAAATGGAAGCCAAAATAGACACGCACCCCACCAGTAATTACAGAAATGAGGGATTACATTCTGGATACCGTAATAGCTACAGTAATCACATAATGATATTATAATTATATAATATAATGATATTAATTAATGAATGTTATAATAATATACTAATGTGGGAAGAAATATCCATTTGGTTCAGTTCCAAGCCTGGAGGAAGACACTGGAAACATGGAAGCTGATTGGAAAGAGGGTTTATTGATGAAGCAGAATCGCATGAGTTTGTGGTCCTGGGCAGCTGACAAAATGGAGTTGAGAGTGAGGGGTTTTTATATCTTCTTTGAGCTTTGAGCTTCCTGTTCCTGGGCAAGAACATGTATTCTATTGGCTATTGTCAGATTCCTATTGGGTCATGTAGGGGTCATAGCTGCCCCTCTCCTTCCACTCTTTCATTTATGATTCATTAAAAAAAAAAAAAGATGAAAGTGCAGAAAAGAGCAACTAAGAGCAAACCGGTTTGGATTTCACCACTGGCCTGGAGGCTAAAATATATGAAGGTTGCAGGAAGTGGGTTTGGCCAGTCTAGAGAAAAGAAGGACTTGGGGTGACATGATAGCAGTATTCCAGTATTTGAGGGGCTACCACAAAGAAGAGGGGTCAATTTATTT